ACACGCACACGCACACGCACACGCACACGCACACGCACACGCACACGCACGCACGCACGCACGCACGCACGCACGCACGCACGCACACACACACACACACACACACACATATATATATATATCATAATCATATAGCATCATATATATATATGATGGCATGCAGTGCGGTTTATTGACGCGTGTGACTGCTGTATCGCGGATGTTGCCAAACTAATACAAGCCAGCAAAGGTCGTTAGACGCCCAGGGTTTGGCTTGGATCATGCTCGTAGAATCGCTAAGCGTAATGTAATAGAATCATAAACTAATAACTTGAACTTGTAAATGATATACTTCAAGCGAAGGTAAGCAGAAATGATGCGGTAGAAATTTATCTTGTGCGGAATGGGTAGTTATCTAAATTAAGGCCACGCGACGAACGTTCGTCTCTGCTGAAGTAGTAGTTTAGCACTTTGTAGAAACATCGCACAAGCGATGCTGGCTCTTGTTGCCCTGGCATTTACCAGCGATTTTTGTTATTATTTCCAGGCTTTACTGGTCTCTTCGCAAAACGTTATTCGTAAGTACTTGCTAAGCTATTTTTTTTATTCTATAATTCATCATTGGCGCCATCATTGTCGTCATCGTGGTTGTCGTTGTCATCGTCATCAGCGTCGTCGTTGTCGTCGTCACCACCGTCGTCGTCTTCATTGTTGTTAGCGTCGTTGATGTTGCTGTTGCTGTTGCTGCTGTTGTTGTTTTTCTTGTCGTCGTCGTCGTCGTCGTCGTCGTCGTCGTCGTCGTCGTCGTCATCGTTCCTTTGTTCTGTATGTTGCTACATTAGTGACGGATTTTCAATTTTGATAACCACATAGCAATAACGCGCAATAAAGCATAAACCTAAGAATAAATCATAAGAACGATCGCGTATCCATGGTAACTAACGACGCGTATGCTTCAGAGCAAAATGTGATGTGCGGAAGAGATGGCATTAAGATCAACATAGAGTTCGATGCAGTGTTCGATGGCATGGTGTACGCTAAAGACTTCTACGACAACCAAGCATGCCGCCATGGAGGCGGAAACAAGAACGTGAACTTTGACATGCGATACGATAGCTGTGGAATCAGGGAGGATAATAACGTAAGGCTGAAAGCCAACCTCTCATCAAACATATAAATTATTATATCCAGGAGTGTCATAATATAGACTATATTATGTCTATATTATGTATATATTATGTAGATATTATGTCTATATTATGTCTATATTATGTCTATATTATGTCTATATTATGTCTATATTGTGTTTATATTTATATGACATTCCTGTAATATCTACAATCACATTACGCGCAACTTGTGTAACGTGTGAGAAAATAACGCGTGTAGAGCTAAATACATCATTGAGAGCTTAGACCTTCACTTTAGATTCTTTAATTTAACATTATATTATTATTCACTGGGTTTAATATTATTCCTTAATTCATTCCTTACCCTTGCTCTCTTTCTTACATTACTTTACCTTTTCTTACCTTTCCTCTTTCTAACCTTTTCTTACTTTTTCTCTTTCTAACCTTTTTCTCTTTTCTCCGTTTGCTTTTAATCAAGCGATTACCTGCTTCGTTCTTCGTGTTCACTTCTTCTTTGTTTCTCATCATGTTTTCCTTCACCTCCACATGCAGGGACAGGTGCACGAGCTGACTGTCATATCGCAGCAGAATCCCACAGTCATCACGCAAGCAGACGACTTCTACCACATCACCTGCGATGCTGGCAACATGAACAAGAATCTCACGCTGAAAGCCGGCCTCGGAGTAGCGTAAGTACATGCAGTAATGTAAAGTCCAGTAATGTAATGTAATATAATGTAATATAAATTCCAGTAATGTAATGTAATATAATGTAATATAAAGTACAGTAATGTAATGTAATATAAAGTACAGTAATGTAATATAATGTAATATAATGTAATATAATGTAATGTAATGTAATGTAATGTAATGTAATGCAATGTAATGTAATGTAATGTAATGTAACGTAATGTAATGTAATTTAATGTAATGTAATGCAATGTAATGTAATGTAATGTAATGTAATGTAATGTAATGTAATGTAATGTAATGTAATGTAATGTAATGTAATGTAATGCATTCAGTTATGTGAAGTAATAATGTAATGTAATACATTCAGTAATATAAAGTAATGTAAAGTACCGTAACGTAATGTAATGTAATACATTCAGTTATGTGAAGTAATGTAATGTAATAAATTCAGTGAGGTTTGACTATCATAGGGTATATTCTTGCATGAGAGATTGTAGCATATACGCACTATAATCAAGAGCGTATAAAGAAGGTATAAGGTATAAGAGGCTTCTTTATACGTTCTTGGTATAATCTAACTATATGATAAGCAGTATATACATCATCGTTGCTCAGGTCGCCGCGGGAGACGCACATCGAGCCCACGATGCCGTCACACATCCTGCAGCTGAAGATAGTACCTGGGGACATCGACTCCCGCAAGCAGGTGCAGGCGGCCGTGGTCGGCGAGCGTCTGCTACTCGTGGTAGAGATGACCAACGAAGGTACGCATAGCCAGAAGTTACCGCGTAAAATAACATATTATAAAATAATATATATTATTATTATACATGTATACATATATATGTATATATATATATATATATTATCAGGAGTGAATAATAATAGAATAGTCTATTATTATTTACTCCTGATATTATATCTACCGTATATATATATATATTATACATATAGTACTATTAAGATAGCGCATAGAAAAAGAAATACAAACCACCGCGTATACAATTACTATATATACTATTAGTAGGCGATATACTGCTCCACTGACAATAATATATAACATGCCTCGTTAACACAGCGTGATCTGGTGTAAGAATATATTCTACTACATAAACTTCTAATATATGGAATATCCGTATAGAGCAAAAATATAATATACTGGCAATAAACCAATATGCTGTGAAGTGTAGATGGCGTACGCAGCTTCATCTACTGCAAATTTGGCAAAAACAATTGACCGTCAGCGCACCGGACGCGCACGCACACACAATCAACGCACACCAAACGCGCGCACGACACAACACACACAAAGGCACGCGCGCGCTACACACGCACACGCAGGCAACGCGCACACACACCCCGCACGTACGCGCAACAACACACAGCACGTACGCGCGCACACAGACACACAGCACACACACACACACCACACACAGCACACAACACACACGACACAGAATAGTACATTACGACATGTACGTGTGACAGGATGTGCGGATCATAACGTTACTTATTTCTTTACGTATAATTGCGTATAACATAGAAACTATATTGAGACACATAAAAAGATAGTATATAGAGTCTATACTAGTTTCTTATGCGTAATGCAACGCTCTGTTTTAACGTTTAATCTCGCAGTTACGACGGCTGCGTAACTAAAATTTCAAACTCATCGGGCATTACTATTTCTTACAGATAGTGTTCAACATTCTTTGTACAGCTGCGTGGCGAACAGATGAAGCACCAGTAGCATTGAACTCGTCGAATGAGTAGGGTGAGCACGCTCTTATCATGAACTCAACCAGACTGAAGAGGCTGGGGATACCATACCAGGAGTGTATAATATAGAGATCCCTATAAATTAGATCAGCGAGCTTAATAATACAATTTTCATTATTATAGCTCCTGATTAGATGCATATATATAGATTTATATATATATGCTATAACATATATATAATATTATCTATATATATTATATTACTTGTATATATACTTATAATATAGATACACTGCTGATAATACTAGATGATTTATTGCCACATGGTTCCAGGTCTGTTTTAGAAGGTCCCGTACATATATATATCACCTAACACATCATACCCCCCTTCCCGATCTATCGCTACAGACTTGTCATTCTTAAACTAGAGATGACCCTAAGAGGTTAATTTATAGGTGTACACATTATACATTAAATATTTTAAATATGATAATTTAAAGGTATATTTATAGGTATTTATATCCTGTATGTGTATAGGTATAAAATTGTGAGGTGATGTTACGGATATACCTAATGGTCGTGTAATACTGCGGGCGGTATTCTATGATGGATGCATCTCTCTCTGGTCATGTCGACACTAGGTGCGTGAACAGACAGATTCCCAGCATGATACTATCATCGCGAGTTCGCACACGGACCACTCCGCTACGAAAATACTTCAACATGGCCGCCTTCAAGTTTCCGCAAGCCGAAATCGTGCAGTTTAGCTGCCAGGCACGTCTCTGCAAACCAGATGCTGCCGACTGCTCCCTGGTACGTACATACAGCTCAGAGCCAGGATTGAAAAACCAACTACTTAAACACTAACTGAAACAATCGTGCCCTATGGTTTATTTTCGTCGACTTTATTGTCTTCTTTGACGTCTTCGAGTCCATGTTTTGCATAATCTACATCGTATGTATATCTTAATTGGCATTTGAGAGAAGATAGTTCGAACCTGCTCTGTATGGGTCGTTTTTACCTGCAGTATTCTCTACTACTACTATTGTTTGTTGAAGTAAAGTGGAGAAAGGTGAATGGCTACTGGTGGTATTGAGTCAACTTCATTCAAACGTGTATAAACTGACCCATCGTTATTGAAATCACGCAGGTTGTATGCCACACGCACGCTATACCAACAACAATTCTCCTTATATAACTCTCCGTATACAATTCTTCTTACATTATTATAGCCTAGTGTGTTTGTGATTTCGTTTCTGCTTCACATAGTCCAAGTACACTCACCATACCTAGCATAAACACACAGACTTCATTCATTCACCAATAGCAATGCAGCAGACCAGAGAGGGCGCGCGAGTCAGACAGACGCCGCAAGAGGGAGCTATACGATGATGTCGACGGAGCCGCGAATCCGTCCAATGATACAAATCGCAGCCAAGAGGGGGCGCCACCGGACGCGACACGCGTATTCAACATCATCCGCGTTAGAGCTCCTGGCGATGACGTCCCAGCCAAGGATGACGACGGTGAGCTCATGTGTTTGTCTGGCCATCACTGGTTGGTGGATGGTGCTTTCAACCATTCCACCACTAGCCTATGAGGCAAAGCCGTACCACGTTGTAAAAATGGGTTTAAATAGATTTAATATAATTTCTATTCATTTTTGTTTTACTGGTGCTGAAAGATGCTAATCCACGTGACTCACCCCACGCACACGCGCATACACGCACACACACGCGCGCACGCACACACATGCACGCACGCACGCACACACACACATACATGCAGCGACGCGCTCATTTCTCATCTATCGCCATCGTCGTCACCGCCGCAGGTCCGACGCAGCGTCCCGACGTGAAGACATTCTGTCTGGCGCGGACGCTTGTCACGGTGCTCGCCAGCGTCATCGTCGGCGTCCTCGTCATCGCCATCGTCGCCTGCGCCTGCCTCTACACGAAGCTGTCGTCGATGCGAACCGAGCGAGAGAAGCTGGAGGAGCAGCGGGAGGGCGTGAGGAGAGAGATGGCGAGTTACGTGAATCATGGCTTCAGGATTCCACGGCCAGCGCTCGCTGAGGAGCAACGGGGAGGAGCGGATGGCAGCAGCATCCGTGATGGCAGCGTGGCGATATACGCCGAGATCAACTAACGGCAGGCTGCTGATGCTGTTGCTGCTGCTGCTGCTGGTGGTGATGGTGGTGATGGTGGCGATGGTGGTGGTGGTTTTGGTGGTGCTGCTGCTGCTGATACTGCTGGGGAGAGAGAGAAAGAAAGAGATAGAGACTATTAGAGAGAGAGAGAAAAAAGAAAAAGATGCACGAGTAAAACGTACGCATAAACCGCAGCTGAGAGACATGGCAGTAGTAAGGTATCTCATGACTGTACGCCGCAGACTGTAGTGAATTCAGCAAGACTGTGCGCAAAGTAGCTTACGGTTGCAGAGCCCCCTGGGAGCACACATCGCCTAACCGATCAACTATACAACTTTCTAACCTCCAGCGGACTAAATATTCCGAGAAAGTGGGTAATTGAAGAGGATTGAAAGATATTGAAGAGGAGGGAAATTGTCTTGGTGTTAAGAGAAGGTGTTTAACGGCCGATATGCGAGTTAAACTGCCGCCATGTTGGTAAGCGTACAGTGTATATTAAACCACAGACGTGTGTTTCCGTTACCACTCTATCCGAGATCACACTGCCCAAGTATCGCAGTAAAGGTATATGCAAATAGGATTTTGTTTTACTGGTGGTTTCTACTCGCACACTGTGCGTCAGTGAGTCTGTTATGTAAATCAACTAATGTCCCTCAACGGAATCGCGTGACATCTCTGTCGGGATGGACCCAGGAGGTGAAGGTCAACTCAGCGACAGAAGATGAAATCATCCCCAATATATACATATTTTTAATAAAAGCGTTGATTATTTTAATAGTTAAGCATCTAGCATTGTAATCTGAGTTTCGCGAATGTTAACTCGTTTTGAAACGATGTATAGCGTTCACGTAATCGTTTGTCACGGTAGGTAGTCCGTGTTGAGTATTTATCTGTTTCATACTGCATCACTGCTCGTACATAAGACGCTTATTCCGTGTGGCAATTGTCAATAGTAAGTAAGTATAGTCAAGAGTATATTTTTAAGCTGTGCCGTGTTTGTACGTATTGGGTAAAGTAGAAAAAAAGTCGCGATTTAGCTAAAGGTTTTTTTCGTTAACTTATCGAGCGACTTATGATTGTCAATATCCTGATCGACCGTATTATAATTGTATTGATACTGAGAGCCAATCAAACCCATTCACGTCGAGCGCTTGGTATTTTACACAGCTGATTCCAGACAGATTACCTGCTACCTGATTACCTGCTAGACAGAGATTAGGCCTACCTGCTTGATCCTTATACAAATATCCTATAGAGATATAGGAACTTACTAACAGCCTATACTAACAACGCGATTCCGGCAAAGGTTGCGAAGCGAAAGTAAACAGTTCGTGAGGGTCGTTGTCGAGGATTCGCCGATACCGACAAGATAGCAAACAAGAAATCAGATTTTTGTGCGTGCATGATGGGTTGCTTAGATAGGGAAAAAATGGAGTCGATAGGACCATGACGATAATTAAATTAATGTTGATAATTAAATCCCGTTTTTACCGTTAAAGTTTAGAATATTAATGTGAGGGCTAAATGTATTTTTTACCTTATTATAACAGTGTAATTTCTTTTGCAAAAACCACTTATTAATTTGTTTATAGTTGTGTTACAATGTCTATGCTTGCACAGTGACCGATGACGTGCCCATACTTTACGGCATGCACGTAGCTTCACGTTGTTTCTTGTACAGGTACACACACACACACACACACACACACACACACACACACACACACACACACACACACACACACACACACACACACACACACACACACACACACACACACACACACACACACACACACACACGACACACACACGGAAACAGACACACAGAAACAGAAATACGCGCGCATACTCATACGCAGGCCCATACACACACATGCGCGCGCTCGCACACGCGCACGCGCACACGTGCACACACGCACGCACGCACGCACACACAAACGAACGCACGCACGCACGCACGCTGGAACACACAGAGATATATGAGTGCTATAAATTATAGATATAGGAGTTGATGTATGTCAGGCGTGTGTTACGCAAATATGAGAAATAATGCAAATATTATCAGGAGTCTGTCAATATTGATAGACTCCTGATATTATATGGTATACTTATCACAACCAGTTTTTCATTTATTGTTTCTCATAACATATCATAATATTATACTATCATATATTTGTCATATCATATATATACATGTGTATGTAAATTAAGTTATATTATGGACTCTTAACATATATGTATATATACATGTTATCAGGAGTAGATGAAGTCTTCATCTACTCCTGATGTTATATATAGCTAGGCTATAACGTATGAAAGACTGATACGAACAATCACATTGTGATATACAGGCAATATTTTGCTCTCGTGCAAAATCTAACAAATCTGTGCCACTGTAGTGACATACATATATGAAACATTTCATGCGAACGCACGCACGCTCACGCACGTACGCAGAAATATTTGACTGTATAAAATTATGTCGTGGCGCGGCCCGCCTTTACCAGCCAGCCCTATCAGCGCCCATACCAAGGGACACTATGTACTATAATATCTACGACCTAGGTTTTCCTCAGCAATTCACTGCGTGCACCGCACCGACCTACATGTAAGGGGTTATAGCCTTGAGATTAAGATGAAGATACAGTTTGAGCATACGGAGAGAGGGAGTGATAGCGTGAGTGAGAGAGGGAGAGGGAGAGTGAAAGAGAGAGAAAGAGAGAAAGAGAGAGAAAGAGAGACTGGGCATTGTTAGGGCCCTCATACATCCAGGCATGTATAGATTTCTATAGCCAAACCCGGCAGTCAAATTCTTTCTAACAGACAGTAAACAAATTCCATGTTTAACCCTCCTCTTGAGGGTCAAAAGGTTATCCGACACTTACTCTTCGCATGTCAGCAGAAGGTACATTCATGGTCCTTTCAATAAAGTCTTAAAATGCTAGGTCACCGCTGAAACAAAAAAGTTTTCAATCGCTCCGTCAGACCATGTCCTCAGAAAATGTATAAAATCTGCCCTGCTGCCCATTGACCTTTGACCTGTGACCTCCAATTTCGGCACAGTGATGGCTTTTCCCACCATTGATGCTTTACACCGACTTATCACGAGCCTAGGTCGAGCCGTTTGGATTTGGTGCCGAATTCTGCATTTCCTCCCTATACTTAAGTTAAGGAGGGAATGTCCCCCTTCTTTTACATCTCTTGACCTTTGAACCTTTGCACCCAGCTTCGACATTCCCAAACTCGTTTTGACGATCCCCCCGACGTCCCGAAATAACGTGGACCGCTACGTCGAGCGGGTTACGATTTGTGCCCAACTGTTGACGCACGGACGGACGGACGGACGGCCGACGCACGCACGGACGGACGAACGAACGGACGATCGTGCGATTCTACAAGCTGCATCTGACTTCGTCAGATGAGCTAAAAAAAGCTGCTCACTTCCTATCGGCTGGTAGTGGCGTTTTCCTAACGGGCACCTTCGGTTGTTCGGTCACCAGGCTCTTCGTGTTCCCCAGGAGATGTCGTCCATCTTGCAGAGAGCGTAGGTGAGGCAGACGACAAAGTAGGACGGCGCTCCGATGACATAGATGACCTGTGATGACAACAGCGTCTGTGGTTGGCCATCGTACTCAGAATTTTTTTTTTTACCCAAATTTAATTATATCCATAATAATTTATTATAACCTTTTTTACCCAATCAGAGGGACACAATAATATACCCGCAATATTTCTTCGCAACTCACGCTGAGTAATTCATTCTATCTAATCTACAACACCCATCTCTGAAATAGCTATATTTGCCGCATAAGTTACCATGAGCAGAGCTGTCTCTCTGTTCCAATCCTCTGGATGGAGTAGGATGGCGATAATGGACGAGCGAGTATCCCCAAAGGAGAAATGCAGATGGCGTCACAGCCGACGCATAGCACAGGGTTCCTACCGCTCCCAGCATGGCCACGAAACTCAGAATGACGTAGAACGCTGTTAATGCTTTCGCCGCACGAAACTGTATAATCAACCAAACGTATTTATTAGTATGAGTAACAATACAATGTAATACAATACAATACAATACAATACAATACAATACAATACAATACAATACAATACAATACAATACAATACAATACAATACAATACAATACAATACAATACAATACAATACAATACAATACAATACAATACAATACAATACAATACAATACTGTAGTACGGCGTTTTAGCTTTGAGATGGAGACATGGGGAGTTTGGGCACATTTACTCCTGCAAATGTTCGGACGGCCGGGATGGACCCAGAAGAACATTAGCTGCATACTTCAGAGCACACAATAATTTAGCGTGGACAGAATGCATTTCAGAATGGTCGAACACATTAACTTCAACAAGAATGCCGACGCGGTTTATCAAACGGCCATCATTAAGCAGACAACGTCAACGGTGGTCGGCGCTCCATCGGACATTAGTCGCGACCGGTTATTATATCCACTACCCGTGTCATAAATTAGTTTAAGTCTAAACAAGTCGCGACGAGGATGCGGACGGTTTAAAAAGGGCGGGGTTTGGTAGAAACGGGAGAGACGACGGCAATCTCTGATCGGTACGTACGTGTACACTGTTTTTATCCGTGTTTGTAATAAAACTGTAATTGTCACCGTTTATACAACTGTTACGTCCTACAGTCTACGTTCGAGATATTTTCTACACTACAATACAATACAATACAATACAATACAATACAATGCAATGCAATACAATACAATACAATACAATACAATACAATGGAGACGCAGAACATACGTGTTTATTGTATGATGACCACTGCGGCGTTGCCGCGTGCATATTGTTTGTCATCTTATCACAGACGTGAACTATATATTCGTATATTCTAATTGATATTTTATTATATATATTCTATATGTTCCATATAATCGTATATTGTCATCCGTACCTGCCACTTTTCACTCACGGAAAGACATATGAGGATGAAAAATATGATGGGAACCCCGGCCGCGACAACTGCAATCAGCACGCTGGCGCTTTTCATGTGCGATCGCTATACCAGTACTGGCGTTAAAGTAATATAAAAATGAATATAGTAATGCGTGAT